GGGCTGTATTACACTGGGCAACAACGTAATCACTTGTAAATTGCAAAGATGCCGAGTTCTAACCTGAAACTGAATGAAATTAAAATAATAATAAGTGCAATTTGTAGTAAATTAAAGTAACTGGGAGAATGGATAGAGGATATACACCACTCGTGGCTGCACAGATTATTTTATGCACAGTTGCTGATTCCAGAACATCAGCACATTTTTTTAAAATGATGAATGGAAAAGAAAACATCTCCCAGGTGCTATGTATCCTGATCTAAAAGGCAATGCTATAGTACTAAATACCAGAATACCTTCACTTATATTTTATTTTTAGCAGCCTTAATAAAGAAATTCAGTGTTTTGGCTTTTATTAACCATTCTTTAATACTACCTTTCTTTATACAAATTTTCAAATACATAGTCTCAATAAACCTAAAAAGATAATTATTTTTTAAAACTGTTTCTTAGATATCATAAAACGCCTGTAAGATTTACATACTTGCTTATTTCAAGAAACTGAGAAATTTAAGCCAGCCAAATGAAAGTTTCAGGAATTCATAAACAACCAAACCTGCTTTATTGGGCTACACCTTCAATGTGCTCAACTCAAGACATTCTCGCTCCTTCTCGCTTTCAATAGCGAGGGTCCCTGTAAGAATTCAACCCTGTTAGACATTTACTCCGCACACTCGACCTGGTGCCTTGCTCGGGACTCTGTGCTGCTCTGCAGTCACCACAGCAATGGCGGCGCCCGCATACTCTGAATTGGGAGAACTGGCAAACCCCAAAGCGCTGGTTCCGCTGCTGCTAGAATGTCATTTTAGTCCCATCTGATGGTCATACAAACACAAAATTGTTTCTTGACAGTTTTGAAGCTTAACCCTGTTTCTCTTTCAACATGTCTTTTGATGGTGTGATTGCCCTGTTCTACTCCTGTTGCAGGGATGTTTCTCAGTAAAATCTCTTATGGGGTCATGTAAACATCCTAACTGCCTCATGCTACTAGTGCCCTGCGTTCCACTCGGAACAGCCTTTGGATCTGCTTTAAAAGATGGGGTACTGTGTAAATCGGATTAACTGAATCCCTTCAAACTCAACTGCTAGAAAGTACCAGGAAGCCCCCCAAGGTTTTTTCAGTTACGTCTGCACCATCCACAGCTGGGGCGCGGTGAATGTTTCCCTGGCCTGCTTTATGACAGCTCAGGTGTGGTGCTCTTCAGCACCACAGTTGACTGATTTGACAATCTAACCAATAAGACAAATAAGAAATTAGTAAAGTTATATTTTGGGGGCATTTTTTACTTTTCCTAATAAATAATTAAAAATAATTTTTACCTTTTCTAATAAATATCTGCATAGTTACTGTCCCCAGGATGTACAGTTGTAATTCACAAAGCAGCTGAGTGTACTCTTATTCTGTGCCATGTATGGCAGTCCCAGGACAAGTGTTGTTTCATTTCAGTAATACCAAAGTGTACAATAAGAAATTAAGATTGTGGTAATAAGTTAGCATAATAATTTTATTTTCCAAGTAACTGCTAAACTAGTGAACAATTCATATTTCATAGTCTGAGTTTCTTATTACTGGCCGCTTGGTAGCAGAATTAAGTTCTTTATTTCTGTTCTTTTTTTCCTTTTTAAAAGGGGTCATCACTTGTGGATTTTTAATAGCTACTCTTTTCTGAGATCCTTACAGTGTCTTTTTACATTTTTTTTTTTACATTTTTTACATTTTACAATCCTCCTAAAGAGGATTTTAAAGAGGATTTTAGCTAAAGCTTTGGCATCGTGATGACTTTATAGTTCTGCAGAAACAGCCTGTTGTATTTCTTCTTCCACAACCTCCCTCTGCATTACTGGGTACCTCTGTTAAAACAGTATTTCTCTGTGGATAGCTTCTCGTGATCTCTGTGTGTCTTGATCTTTCCTTCAGTGCAAGTGTCCAAATCCACAGAAGTTTCTATGGCATTCAAAAATTATTAATTTGATTAGCACTTCCAAATTTGTAAGACTCTCTGCAGACTTCTTGATGGCCACCAAGACCTCTCGCCTACCTTGCGCTGCTGCTGGTTGTTCTGGTATTCAAAACTCACCAACAGTTGGCTTCCCGAATTGCCTCACACAATTCCGGGCTACTGGCTGTTGCCAAGATCTACTGCAAAAATCTAATTTAATATTTCTAGGTATGCTAAAAAACATCTTAACTCACTCTGCTGGACCATGTTTTGCTCAAAGTTTCTCAAAGGGCTTGAAAGCAGTTCACATTTCACTAAGAAGGGCAACAACAAAACGATGATGAGGAAATGTGCCACGTGCTCTAGGTGACCCTGCGTGTGCAGGGGGTTTGGACTAGATGACCTCTAGAGGTCCCTTCCAACCTTAAGCATTCTATGATTCTATGAAATGCTAGACTGACCCTACCTACGCAAAACATCAAGTAAGAAGACTCTTTCCTGAGGTTTTTAGAAAACAGAGAATAGTATGTATGTAATTCTAGTTATTCCGATATAATGCAGTTTCAGGTACCTTCAGAAGAAAGATTTAGTGTTTCTATATTGTAGCAACTAGTGAGGTCATTTTTCCTCAGAGTAACAGTGGAAGTTTGATAAATGGATACATTTCTTCTTATCATGTGAATGCCAGATAATCTCTGCTCTGCCTACAAAATGTAAGTGTGCAAAATAAACACATGCACATTGCAGATACCCACTTCATAACAAAGTGTGTGGCTCCACAAACACGACTCATCTGAAAAAAGAAGTCAAGTGCCTGTTCTAGGTGACAGTCCTGAACTAGGGCTAAGACATATGATCCTATCCACTTAACCTCTACCAGCATCAATCCTGCTCAGCAAAGGAGTCAGAAATGCCCCGTTAAATGGGCTTTTTCATCTCAGTTCCTTGACAACGGAGGCTTAAAGGAGATGTTTCTGAAGCACCGTTACTCTCCTTTAAGTTTAACTTTTGTTTTTGCTCGCTTATGAGTGAGGCTCCAGCTGACGACCTGGTTTTCCATAGCGCACCAGGCAACTGAGAGACAACAACATTTTGGTTCTTGCCAAACTAGACAGAAGTTGTTCAACTACTGAGTGCCTCCCAAACTCTTAATATGCCTTTGTGAATATTTCCACAACAGCAAAAAACCTTCCAAAAAAGTTTTACCCTTTTTTATGAGCAACAAGGTGTCAACTTGCTGTTCTTATCATTTATATACACCGTAAAACTATGCCACAAATAACAAATGTGAGAAAATCCTGGACTGCTCCATCATAGTAATGAGAAGATTCTTTTCTAGCTATTACACGAAGTGCTTCTCTAGGCTCATGAGCAGAGAGCTGAGCATTACATGCTGCATATTTTAGTAATTTCTCCAGCACTTGCTCTAGCTTTACTGGTAACCCTGCCCTGCTGCAGGTGGCAGCGGAGCCATGGGCAGACTAGCTGTCTAAAGCCATTTGGAACATGCAATAACAGTAGAAACACTTGTTTGGCCCACATTTCTCTTCCCACACTGCCAGGCTGATGGGAGTCACGCTGGTGCTAGATGACAGTGAAAAAATGGCACAAGTGCTTTGGTGCTACTGTCCGCTTTAGATCGATGCCAATATATGAATTGTAGTGCTTTGCAATTACACAATATCTCACCACCTGTTTAGTTTTCTGCATCACCTGAACACTGTAGATAAAACACCGACATTTTGTTCCCTGATACTAAGATAAAAGTTTTTTTTTCCAGTAAACAAATTCTTATTTAGGAATGAAAAGCATTTATATTAAAATACTATTGATAAAATATGAGAGAATTATGTTTTTGATATAGTAGCAAAATACTTTATTTTACCCTTATGAAAATTACTACATTCCCTCCCAGAAAGAACATAGAAACCGTAATTAATTTAAAATAACCCTGCAGAAGTGCTATCAAATAATGATAATGGATAAGTCTTCAAATTTCTAATTCCTAAAAAAGATTTAGCAAGCTGGCATGCAAATGTATGTGGAACAGTCTCCTCATGGACATTAGGACCTATGTAGATGTAGGATTTGTACCCTTATCTATAGATGCAAACATTTGAATTTTGTTAAGTAGATTCACAGTTTTATATTTTAAGTTAACTGTAAAATTAAAAAGAAAATAGTATGGGAAAACCATAATGTTAATGCCTACATTATAAGCAATACTATTTCATAGAACATATGGCCTCATTTAGGAAGTTAATCTGAAGTTAAGGAAAATGACCAAAAATGATCACTTAATTTTATAATTCAAATTTTGATTTAAAAAAATGACTGCCTAATATACATTCAAAATACATAGTTATGTTTTAGTTAACATTTTCCTGCATTCCAAATCGAAATGCTGTTTGATGTTCTGGATTCCTCTCCATACACCCTAAAAAGGCATCTAATCAGATGCTATCTTGCAGTCCTTAAACATGCAGCATTTCTACCGTTGTCTTAATTGCATTTGAAAGATGCATGTGTAAGATTGTGAACCACTGGGAGAGGATAAGCTTGTACTTACTGCTTGCTACTTGGCTAGGGAAAAGTGAAAAGATCTAGGCTCTAATATTTAATTCAGCCCAGAAATAAGTAACCTTTTAATTTTCATTTAATTCATTGAGGATTTCTGTTTGTCACTGCAAGATGTTAATTTTGCATAAATTACGCAAATAAAGTTTATATCCTGAGCGTTTTGCTGCAGCTGTTTTTCATTGAAAAAAATTTTGTTGAGAATATTCAATTTAGTTATTGTTTCCGATTCTTTAAGAGAAGACCCCATAAAACAGCTGATTGCTTTCACCAAAATTCTCCTTAGAAATACTGGAATTATTAAAATGGCCCTTTACAAAATGTCAACATGCAGCTGTCAAAGCGCAAACTCTCCAAGCTGGAGCATTCTTATCAGTGCAGAAGAATTTGGGGTCTTATTTGTAATGCAGATTGTCTGAGCAAATTGTCATTGTCAAACACATTGGAGAACAGAATATTCTTACTGAAGAAATTACTCACCGAGAATGACAGCAACAATGGTGAAGAGCACAAAGGCATTCCTCAATAAATAACTTTTAACATCATCCTTTGTTATGCTCTGCACCTTTTTTTTTGCCAAAAGTGCACGTTTCTGGACTCCTTGTTGAAAGCGTTCCATCCTACTTCCAGTTTTTGGATCTTCTCCGTTACCTTTTGTTATCTATCTTGCAGAAAGTTTTCTCTTACAGTTTACTGCTGTCAAAATCCCTTCAAAAAAGTGAGAGACTCTTCTCCTTGGGAGGCACTGGAGAAAGCTGTAAGACAAGAAATATCAAATATCACAATAAGATTCAGGGGAATGATTAGCCAAATGGTCGCATGGAAGCAAATATTCTTCATGTTTCAGTAAGATTTCTGTTATTTGTAATATCTACATTTCTGATTGCTGTTTTTGGTAAATAACCTCAATGATTGTTAGAAGAACTCTTTGAAAGAAGGATTTTATGGACTGTTCAGATAGTCGTTTTGTGCCTTCAGAAATTAGTCTGAATTTCCTATCAGTCTGATAAAAATGAAACAGTAATTTTTTTGCAGTCACTAGAGATATAACAAGGTAAAAGTGATAAAATTAATAGAAACATAAGGTACTAGTATGTTTAAAACCGCCTGTCAGGCCTAATTTCCATTTATTTAGCAGGCACATGTTATCTGAAAAAAATCTAACTTAGCATCATACTAATTATTGGATAGAAATATTGTGATTGAACTGGACCATTTAAAACATTTTGCATTCAGATGCTTTTAAATGGTGGAACTCTTTGGCTGAATTCCTTCTTTTCACATGGCAAAACATAGCAGGAATAGGAAGAGTTTATTTATCCCTCAGCTACTATTTAGCAGATATGCCTTTGACACTTTTATGTTGATAATAATCACCTTTGATGTATATAAACTGTTCAGAGCATATCTGTAAAACATCACAAGTTGTATCCCACTTAGCTTGTCATTGCAGACTGTAATACAAGTTCACATCACAATGCAATGGTTAGCTTTGCCTGGGAGTAACTATGGGGTTATAATCTGGTTTAAAAATAAAATCACACACTGATTCAATTTAAAATGCTTTAATATTCAAAATGCTTCATTAGGGCATTATTATATCTTTCATTTAAAATGAACATTTTTATGGCTGCTTGATATGAATTTATTTAATAATGGAATCTGCACAAAGGTATTTGCCTATTTGAAGATTGGCACATTAGTGTAATATTCGATGTGAATTTTAGGCAAATGATAACAGGTTTTACTTGCTTGGAGAATGAACACACGCTTAGCCTGGGCGGGATGCAGTAAGTGGCCAAGTCCGCAGACACGATGCCTGCATGCCGGGAGGACTCTGCTCACAACAGTTTCCTGTATTTTGCAGAAAAACTAAGATTCATTCACAGTGCCTTTTCTTCCCGAGACCATTACTGCAAATAATCTGTCCTTTCTAACACCAGGATCATTGAGCAGCATAGGTATAGCCCAAAAGCACATTACAGTAAGTGAAATACCAAGGAGGAGAGTGAAAAATGAAGGCTCCATGCTGGAAACCCCACCGAACCGAGCACCCAGCTCACCTTCTCAGATCTCCAGCGTGGCAGGGCCGTGGGGCAGAGCAGACAGGGGGTCCCCAGAAAATACAATAAAGCAGCAACGTTCAGCGAGCGACAGGTAGAGAAAACTGACAGTCTGCATGTGCTGGGGAATACAGCGATTTACTATCACTGGGACTTAAGGAAAGGGGCGGAGACTATTAGCCCAGCTCTGAAAAAAATAAAAACACATGAGAACAGCTGGGAAAGCTGAGCTCCCAGAATATTGATTAGTCTTGGCACGCTGAAAGCGAGGCCACCCGCTTTGTTTTTCCAAATCAGAGCCAGGGAAGAGCTGCAGGATCTCTCTCTCACACACACACACACACCCCAACACTCACACTCTCCCTAACACCCCCCCCCCCCCCCCCCCAACCACCCCCAACCCCCCCCAACCCCCCCCAACCACCCCCAACCACCCCCAACCACCACCAACCACCTCCAACCACCACCAACACCCCAACACTCACACCAATACACAAATTCCAACACTCTCACACCCTCGAACACACCTACACCCCAGCACACACATGTGCCAATACACACACACCCCAACACACAGAGCAGAGGAGGCTGGAGTTCTCCTGAATAGATATTCCAGAATGAGAAGCTGGAAAGCCTGAGGATAATTATGTAACACCATTCCTGGCTTTTCAAAATAACTGATTAAAGTGTGTGAGCACGTTAGTTGGCTCCAGAATTAAACACGGTTTAAGGTTGTCAGGTACTTTCTAATTCTTGCAGTTAGTTATTCACAAGCTCGCTCTTACCAGGGTGGGGAACCAGGCATATCTCACAGAAGCAACTGGAGCATTATCACGAGTAGAGAAAAAAACATAATCAGCTCCAATTCTTTGTGTGTTTCTTGTAGATATTCAACACACAAGATGAGACTTGCCTGTTGTTTAGCAATTTAACCTCCCTGGATGCTAAGCTCCATCCAGCCTGTTTCACCAGCATGGAATGCATGATAAAGGGAAAAGCATCCACTTCTGTGAAATAAATTCTTAACATTCAAAAGTTTGTGCTATTGAAAAGACATTAGGGGAGGAGAGGCAGTGGAATTCCAGAGATCTTCCTTCACTTTTTAGAGGGTATTTTCATTTTAAATATTGGTCAAGTCAGCTTAAAATATTCAGGAATTGTAATTCAGTGCATCTTTTCATGAGGTTTTTAAGTGTATTTTCTGATAAGATGGACAGAAACTGCAGATTTAATTTGATATAAATGTATGCTAACTGTATAAGTTAAGAAGCTTATTTATAGAGGATGCAACTTTTACTGTTTTTCCTGAAGAGCCATCATGAATCTGTAGAAATAGTCTTTAGGTTATAGGTGCACAAAAATAATTAAGTCCAGGTGGGGAGTAAAATTAAGAGCAGTGTTACTTCCACAAAATGGCAGCAATGGCTCTGCTAATTTAACTGTATTTCAAGTAATGACGTATAATGCAGAGTAAAATATCTTTCAATAAAAAGCAACCATGCTTGTGATTAACATAAGTTTGCATTGTGACAGAATTGCAGAATTTTGATCTTAGGTTTCTGACTCAAGAAAGAAAATAAAGATCTGAATTGCCTTATTTGCTTCATTAAAAAAAAAAAAGCAAGAAAAATCGTTGACTGCTTCTGTTGCAGTCAGAAACCATTTTTTCTCTTTAACACCACTTGCTGTGTTTTGTTATACTGGGGATGCTTATGTATCTATCTCATCATTATTTTTCATGGCCCAGTTTTTAAATATTTTCACCAATTTGCCGGGGGATTGGAGCTACCCTCTCAGCAGACCTCTGCCCTTTAGCGTACTGCTCATTAGATGTTTCTCCTTGGAGTCCGATGCGCTTGCTGTGAAACTTCCCACCTACAGGCTTCCTCCCGCCCTCAGCTCGTATGAATGGTAATGTCCCCGTTGCCTTAATGGCACAGGGGTCAGGCCCAAATTGAGGTGATCCCAAAGTAGGTTGTTATTTAATGCTTTCATCACCAGTAGGCTTTATGAGAAACTAGCAAAACCCTGTGAGAGAGGTTGAGCTGTTCAGTGAGACAAAATGAAAATAGAGAACACTCAGCCTTGCAGCTTAGCTTCAGCTGAGCAGTGATACTTTTATTTAGCTCTCAGTAAGGAACTGACATATCTGCGCACTGCTTGGAGAAGCAGAAGATCCAGCATTTTGCAACATGCTCATGTTCAAATTTTTCTTTCTGTCTTTTTCCCCTCTCTCCTTCCTTTCCTGACATCCATTCCATTTATTACATATCTTTGATTGTTAAATAAGAAAATTAAACAATATAAAGAATACAATGCTATATATTACAATAGTCATGTTTTGGAAATCTATGGATAACAAATGAGTCACCAGATACTACTAGTATAGCATCTCCTGACAATGCATAAAGTTCATATACATCTACTGGGATTTTCTATTAAATACAATAACTATAATAGATTTAGTATGCATTATTTAATAACAGAACTAGGACAAGATTTAAAACATTACTGGATAAGTATCCGTATCTGTAATTCTCAGTAGTGTGGAAGTCAGCCTAAGGTCAGTAGCAAAGAATGTCTCCTCAGCAGACGGGCCGGGGACTGAGCAGGAGAGGCGGGAACTGCAGCCACGCGGCAAGCGCGTGACCAGGCAGCTCATTGGACAGCCTCGGGCGTGGTCGGTGCGGGATCATCTCGCTGATTGGCTGGTTGGGTTGCTGGGCTCCGTGTGCTGCCGGGCAGGGCGGGGACTGCTCCAGGCTCGGGAGCTCTGTAAGTGGTGTTTAACCCTAAATAAAGGTCTTTGGTTTCACCCTCGTTGAAGTTCATGTTTCCTTCATGTGCTGTAAATGGAGCCCCACGTTGAGGCTCAAAGATTGAAGAGGTGCAGAAAGCCCGAACGTGGCAGCACAGCCCAGCCGAACTAGGAAGGGAGCAGGAAGAACTCCAATGCGCACCCAGTGCCTAATTAGAGGTGAGCGGCTTGGGAACCATGGGAGGCCGAAAGTCTCAAGAGCAGAAAGGCAGCCTGGACGAGCTGCAGCGCGTAGTGCACGAACAGAACCGGCAGGTTTCCGGGAAGGATTTAGTCCCTTAGGATTTAGAAGGATTTAGTTTAGAGTTACTGGAGTGGATTCGGGAGAAGGTGCCTACCTTCCCGAAGGAAGGCACACCCCTGCGAGAGGTGTGGGAAGAACTCGGAAAGCGCCTTAAGGAGGCGGTGGCGGATGGTGATACAGCTGCGGTAAAACATGTGACCACCTGGTGGCAGATCATGGTCACCTTAAAAACGGCCTGGGATCTTCAGGGGGACAAAAGCAAC